GACTCGCGATGGTAAGACGCTTGGTTTTAACGAATCGCCCCTGAGAAATATTTAGACGTCGTTAACAGTCAAGTAACTAGATTCTCCGACTATTACGTCGCTGAAACCGGAGAATCCGACCTTCCAAGTCACGTTCTAACGCGGAATGGACTTAACGAGACACCGGTTGGAGGACGTCGCAGCGTCTAACGAGATACAAATGTATGTATCTTCGAGAGATAGTAGGTAGAAAATAATCAGAAGAGGAAAAGTTCGTGTGCCACGCGACGCTTGTTCTCCGGCTAACCCACGTGTCTCGGATCTCGGCTACACCTTCGACGCCCACGCCGGAAGTCGCGGCCCACGTTCGCCATGACGCATCGACGTGCATCTCGTATTTGTTTTTACAGACGATACGGGGCCAATAAATCGGGACACGTTCAAGTGCCGGTTGTCTTGCACCGAGAAGGCGATAGGTGAAATGGGATCTACTCTGTTCTCCTATCGATTAATTCTGGTGAAATTTGTTTTCCGGGTTCCCGCCAAAATTCGGTCAGTTGATGCGAACGATTCGCGAAATTGGAGACTTATTGGTCGATGATTTTTATCAAAAAGGAGCAGAATTTTCGTAGCGATTAGGTCACTTGGGAAATAGATAGCTGCGATTCAGAGTGATCTGTTGTAAACATTTTTTAAAAATTCCTACGAAAATTCCGTCAATCGACGCGAACGATTCGCGAATTTCAAGATTTATCGATCGATGATTTTTCCTAAAGAAAAGAGTAATTTTCGTAGCGATTAGGTCACTCGAGAACCGACAGCTACCGATTCCCAGTGATCTGCCGCTAAAATTTTAATCATTGCGAGAGATTCGCGAAATTGGAGATTTATCGTCTGACGAGTTTTGTAGAAAAGAAGCGGGATTTTCAAAGCGATTAGGTCACTTGGGAAATAGATAGCTGCGATTCAGAGTGATCTGTTGCAAAAATTTTTTAAAAATTGCTACGAAAATTCCATCAATTGGCGCGAATGATTCGCCACATGCAAGACTTATCGATCGATAATTTTTCCTAAAGAGAAACGGGATTTTCAAAGCGATTAGGTCACTTGGGAAATAGATAGCTGCGATTCAGAGTGATCTCCGCTAAAATTTTTTTAAAAATTCTCACAAAAATTCTGTCAATCGACGCAAAGGATTCGCCAAATTCAAGATTTATCGATCGATGATTTTTCCTAAAGAAAAGAGTAATTTTCGTAGCGATTAGGTCACTCGAGAACCGACAGCTACCGATTCACAGTGATCTGCCGCTAAAATTTTTTAAAAGTTCCCATAAAAATTCCGTCAATCGACGCGAACGATTCGCGAATTTCAAGATTTATCGATCGATGATTTTTCCTAAAGAAAAGAGTAATTTTCGTAGCGATTAGGTCACTCGAGAACCGACAGCTACCGATTCCCAGTGATCTGCCGCTAAACTTTTTTAAAAGTTCCTATAAAAATTCCGTCAATCGACGCGAACTATTCGCGAAATTCGAGACTTATCGGCCGCCGATTTCGAACGGAAAAAATGAGGAATTTTCGCAGCGACCGGATCACTGGCACCTCTTCGGTGCACCTCGGCAAAGGGTGGCGTTAATTGGCAAGCTGACACGCGCACGTTCGCCCGCCTATCGAAAACCATGTCTCATAATATATCAGCGACGACATCGGGGCTGTCGTTCGATCCCTTGCCATCAATTTGCAGCAGTGCCATGTTCCCAGCATAGACATATCCTCATTTATCCCAATGTCCTACACGTCGCCAGCCAATTTGCTAATCGACCTAATCATCCAATCGCATTAACCTTGCCGGCCATTCAGAGACCCCGGTCTCCCTTTTTATTGGCCGGTTCCTGCGACAGGTTTCGCATTTGCGAACGGCACCGGCCACCAAAGGTGTCGGGCACCCTGTCGCGCCGGGATCAGGACACGGCGTTTACCTTTATCGACCGATCTACAAGCGCCATTAACGCCTCGTAACGATGCCCGTTCACGTGTTCACCGGGACTTTATTCGGGCGGAGGAATTTCCGAGGAACTCGATGGGGTAAAATGGCCGGGCTTTAATGACGGGAACGCCGCGCGGATCGCAGATCATACGGTACAGGGTCACGTATCGAGGAGAGCATAAAGCACCGGGGGTTCCGAGCGAGCTCGATTTAAGTCGCAACCGTAATACAACGCCCCATTCTCCCTTTACTCCATCAACTCCGCCCAGTGAAATTTCGTCGATAAAGACGAAATGTAGCGGGGGCTGCGTGGCAGGTAGATTGGCCGACTTTGCGCTATAGCTCGTTAACTCGCAGCGATTGGAAATTCCTTCAATCGCCATGAAAGAAGAACGCGAGCAAAGAAATAGAAGAGTGAATTTGTCGATTTTTAACGCATTGATTGACACCCCCGTGACGGGTACTGATTCTTTGAATTCGAGATGTTTGATTCGCATCGACTATTTTTTGAGAATTTGAATAATACAAATAGATCGAGGAATATTTTCTTTTTCTTTATATCGTGTTTGATTGTTCATTGTATCTTAAGTGTAATGGAAATTTTTATTGTGGATCCACGTGTTAAATATAATGAAAAATACAAAGGACAGTGTTATGGGTTAATTTACTTTTTCTCTGTCGATTATGGTCGGTCGAATTTGAAGATGTTTGCGAAAAAATTCTGGAATCGTGCAATTAAGTGCACATACAGGGATGGGAGTTTGATACGTAGTGTACAGAATTCCTCGAATCCTAAAAAGATATATTCGAGACAAATTTAATGTAATATTATAATGATTGCGATATTTATTATATAACAAGCCAATTTATTTGCTTTGTGATTACTTTACTGTTGGATTTTTCTTTTCAGTTGAAATACAGACATGAAAAATAAGGGCTCTTCTAAAAATTTGATAACATAATTAAAAATCATCGAGATCGGAGGTGACTCAAACCATCAACAATTCATCACTCTAAGAAATAAAAGGGGGTGTAGATATAAAGACACGAAGAACGAAGCGTTCCTCAGAAATCCTATAACGTATCAAAAATTGCCAAGATTGGAGACGTCCCAACCTATTATTGATAAATTCGCTACCACAAAATTAAAAAATAATAAAAAAATAAAAAAATAAGGAAAGAAGAAATAAAGACACGAGGATTAAGCGTTCTTTAAAAATCCTATAACATATTTAGAAATCATCATAATCAAATATGACTCAGACCAACCCATTAATAAGTTCACCACTTCAATAAAAAAGAAAGTAAAAGTAAGGATACAAAGAATAGTTCTTCCTATAACATATTTAAAAATCATCATAATCGGATGTGGTAAAATCAACCCATTAACAAGTACACCACTCCAATAAAAAAGAAAGTAAAAATAGGGATACAAAGAATAATTCTTCAAAAATTCTACAACATAATTAAAAATCATCAAGATCCAAGATGACCCAACCCATCGACAAAATCACCACTCCAAGAAATAAAAGGGGGGGGTAGATATAAAGACACGAAGAATGAAGCGTTCCTCAGAAATCCTATAACGTATCAAAAATCGCCAAGATTGGAGACGTCCCAACCTATTATTGATAAATTCGCTACCACAAAATTAAAAAATAATAGCGAAAAAATTCTGGAATCGTGCAATTAAGTGCACATACAGGGATGGGAGTTTGATACGTAGTGTACAGAATTCCTCGAATCCTAAAAAGATATATTCGAGACAAATTTAATGTAATATTATAATGATTGCGATATTTATTATATAGCAAGCCAATTTATTTGCTTTGTGATTACTTTACTGTTGGATTTTTCTTTTCAGTTGAAATACAGACATGAAAAATAGGGGTTCTTCCAAAAATTTGATAACATAATTAAAAATCATCGAGATCGGAGGTGACTCAAACCATCAACAATTCATCACTCTAAGAAATAAAAAAGAGGGTGGATATAAAGACACGAAAAATAAACGTTCCCCAGAAATCCTGTAACATATCAAAAATCGCCAGGCTCGGAGGTGACCCAACACATTCACAAGTACACCACCATAAAATTAAAAAAAAGAAGAAATAAGCATTCTTTAAAAAACCTATAACATATTTAGAAATTATCATAATCAAATGTGACTCAGAGCAACCCATTAACAAGTTCACCACTTCAATAGAAAAGAAAGTAAAAATAGGGATACAAAGAATAGTTCTTCAAAAATTCTACAACATAATTAAAAATCATCAAGATCCGAGATGACCCAACCCATCGACAAAATCACCACTCCAAGAAATAAAAGGGGGGGTAGATATAAAGACACGAAGAATGAAGCGTTCCTCAGAAATCCTATAACGTATCAAAAATCGCCAAGATTGGAGACGTCCCAACCTATTATTGATAAATTCGCTACCACAAAATTAAAAAATAATGAAAAAATAAAAAAATAAGGAAAGAAGAAATAAAGACACGAGGATTAAGCGTTCTTTAAAAATCCTATAACATATTTAGAAATCATCATAATCAAATATGACTCAGACCAACCCATTAACAAGTTCACCATTTCAATAAAAAAGAAAGTAAAAATAAGGATACAAAGAATAGTTCTTCAAAAATTCTACAACATAATTAAAAATCATCAAGATCCGAGATGACCCAACCCATCGACAAAATCACCACTCCAAGAAATAAAAGGAGGAGTAGATATAAAGACACGAAGAATGAAGCGTTCCTCAGAAATCCTATAACGTATCAAAAATTGCCAAGATTGGAGACGTCCCAACCTATTACTGATAAATTCGCTACCACAAAATTAAAAAATAATAAAAAAATAAAAAGATAAGGAAAAGAAGATATAAAGACACCAGGATTAAGCGTTCTTTAAAAATCCTATAACATATTTAGATTGCTACCACAAAATTAAAAAATAATAAAAAAATAAAAAAATAAGGAAAAGAAGAAATAAAGACAGGAGGAATAAGCCATCTTTAGAAATCGGTATTTTACCCTTTTCCCTGGCCGGAGTGGTCGTAAATCATACGTCGGTGTTTCCAAACCGAGGCCAACCTCGGCGGGGCGGCTTGGTAAGGAAGCGTGTACCGGCACCTATCTTCCTCTTCTTCTCTGCCGTCGATGTTACCAGCGTTCACCTCCATTTACCAGGCAACCCACGCTACCGCGTACGTTTCTCGATCTCTCCACGCGCTTCTTTCTTCCTTCTACGTCTGACTCCCCCGTTACTACACGCCGGTCATCGCGATATCTTCGTTAACCCTCACGCGGCTCGGTTCGCGCATCACGCAGTTTCCATTTCAATTACGACCGCTATCGCTGGCACGTAACGCGGTATCGCTTACACCTTCGCGGGAGTCGCGGCGAGCGGAGAAAAAGTCGCGCTGTGATCGGACTCGCTGTCGGTTTTATCGCCGTGCTCGATTTACCGATTCCACCGCAGGTTGCAGCGTGCACCAGCTGGAGGCAGCAGCGCGTTCCTCCGACGCGGGAACCGAGCGACTAACGCCGGCCCACGCCATCCGCCTCTGCGTGCAGCAATTGCACCGCGCCGCACCGTGGAAAATTGGATAATGCGGCTGCAGGCCAGGAACAAGCGGAATCCGACCCCTCGCCGTCTCTCTCTCCGTTCCACCGCCTCCGACTCCTCCTTCCTTTCGCCCTCCTCTTTATCTCTCCACTCGAATTCGTCGTCTGGAATTTTCCAGCCGCTTCCGGGACACCGATCGACAGCACAACCATCAGCCACCATCACGGTTCCATGCCGGAGATCGCTCGCCCCGGCGATCTCGCAATCGCCGAGAGGCGAGGCGAGGCGAAGGGCGTGGGTGCGACGATTCAACCTCGGCGATGGAAAGGTAAATCGAGAAGGTTTGCTTAATCCCGGTTCGCGTGGTCGTGCAGTCACTGCCGCCTGTTCCAGAGAAATTGGCGGTCGCACGCGACCGCCCCGCCGTGACGAGCCGACTCGCTACCCGCCACGTAACGAAGCTTCGTGGGTAATTTTCTAAAACGGTACACGCTCGTATTTCGACCGGAGAAACCGGTTGGTCGCGTAGCCGGGCCCCGAGTCCAGGCATCGGTTCCGCGAACGTTCCACGGGTACGTGTAATTTCGATTTTTTCCCAGTCGCGGCGGACAGGAGAGACACGCGTTTCTTCTGTGCCAGCAGTGCGACATCGGCGGTGTTCGGAGTCGCTTCCTGCGTGCAAAACCTGGGGGACACGTAATTAAGGTTTATAAACCGACGTGCGCCGGAATAAAGAGCCGAATGGCCGGGTAGGTATGTACGCGTACGGAAGTTGCGAGCCGTTATTTATCGCGTTATTACGCTGATATCGCCCGCCTGCAAATAACACGGCACATTTAAGCGTTTAAACGGTGATCCTGGCGTGGACAGGAAAAAGAATTTATCCTTTTCTCTTGCTGCTCGATAGTGCAACAGTCTTGAAATTTATTTCCAGATTTTCAATGTAATACTCGAAACATCGTAGGATAGCGAAAACTAGCTTTGTGACACCAAATATTGATGGAACAGCAAGAACAGAATCAGTTTCCGGTTTTGAGACACCAAAAATTGGCAGGACAACAAGAACAGAATAACTTTTCGGTTTTGAAACACCAAAAATTGGCAGGCCAAGAAGAACAGAATCAATTTTCAGTTTCGACACACCAAAAATTGACAGAACAACAAGAACAGAATCAGTTTTCGGTTTTGAGACACCAAAAATTGACAGAACAACAAGAACAGAATCAGTTTTCGGTTTTGAAACACCAAAAATTGGCAGGACAAGAAGAACAGAATCAATTTTCAGTTTCGTCACACCAAAAATTGACAGAACAACAAGAACAGAATGACTTTTTGGTTTTGAGACAACAAAAATTGGCAGAACAACAAGAACAGAATCAGTTTTCGGTTTTGAGACACCAAAAATTGACAGAACAACAAGAACAGAATCAGTTTTCGGTTGTGAAACACCAAAAATTGGCAGGACAAGAAGAACAGAATCAATTTTCAGTTTCGTCACACCAAAAATTGACAGAACAACAAGAACAGAATCAGTTTTCGGTTTTGAAACACCAAAAATTGGCAGGACAAGAAGAACAGAATCAATTTTCAGTTTCGTCACACCAAAAATTGACAGAACAACAAGAACAGAATAACTTTTCGGTTTTGTGACACCAAAAATTGACAGGACAAGAAGAACAGAATCAGTTTTCTATTTTGAGACACCAAAAATTGACAGAACAACAAGAAAAGAATGACTTCTTGGTTCTGAGACAACAAAAATTGGCAGGACAAGAAGAACAAAATCAATTTTCAGTTTCGTCACACCAAAAATTGACAGAACAACAAGAACAGAATGACTTTTCGGTTTTGCGACACCAAAAATTGACAGGACAAGAAGAATAGAATCAGTTTTCGTTTTCGAGACAACAAAAATTGGCAGAACAACAAGAATAGAATGACTCTGCGGTTTAGGACATCAAAAATTGACAGAACAACAAGAACAGAATCAGTTTTCGGTTTCCAGACACGAAAAATTGATAGGACAACAAGAAAAACGCAGAACTCATGAAACTAATTTAACTTAAAAAAAGAATACCAAGCTAACGCAACGAAAATACAGAAACGCACTCTAATTTAACTTTCTTTTCAACATTGAGCAACTCACGCTTGTGGCGGTCTCAATTAATTTCTAAGAACCCTGTTTTGGTCGTGAAGGACCCTGCTTTCATGCCTTTCTTAACTTACGCTTCACCTACCCTTGGGAACCGTGCAACACAATTTTGTTACCCAAACTAACTTTTCCATTTGCTTCTAGAAAATATTGATCGGTTTATAATTTTTATTTATTGGCAATGGCCGATTCGCAATTTCTTTCCGAAATGGTATCTTACAATATTAAGGTCCCCAACGCGGGACATTTAAGCGGTTAAACAGGAATCCTAGTGTGGAAAGAAAAAGGAATTTATCCTTTTCTCTTATTGCTCGATAGTACAACATTCCTGGAATATATTTCCATAATTTTCAATACAATCCTCGAAATATTAAGTGCCCTAGTTGATCCTGTCGAGTTTTTATTTCTCGTTGAGACCCTCCAGGCAGGTAACACCGGCAATTTTCCATCATTTTTAACAAAAAATGCTACACATATAGCTAAAGAGTACACAAATAAACCCTGTTAATTTCAAAGCTCTAGGCCTTAATGTTCTACTGCAATAATTTTTCAAAGACATTGGAAAAAGTCAAGCGACGATCCCTTAGAAGATCCCCTAGAAGATCGTAAAGGACACTCGTTCCGTCTTCGCGTCGCTTTCCCTGGAAACACGAGGATTACGTAGGTTGCTGGTAGAAATCCTTCGCGATTCACCACCTCCGATTCGATCCAGGAATTTTTCATTTAACCGATACACCCTGCTGACAGGTTCCGCCCGTCCAGCCGTGCAACCGCTTCGAACGGGGCGGATTTAATCGACGAAATCGAAACGAAGCAGACTCAAAGGGGAACGTAGTATAGGAAGTCGGTGGATTAATATCCTCACGAATATCGAAAACGCTTTCCTTTGTCAACCCGCTGTTTTTATGGCTAATACGGAATAACTGGCGGCGATGTTTCCCCAAACAGCGTTGATTTCCGCGCGCTAATTGCTGTGTCCAGCCCGCAAAGGCAAACCAATGCCAACCGCGTAATGATTTTAATACCACGAACGTTGATAAAGCTCGCCAGCCACCTGCCCCATGGCCAGTGTAATCCCGCCGGTGCTCGTCCTCTTTCCTTTATCGGCCTGCGAAATTAAACATCCGCGATTCGATTTTACGATACACAGCGGGAAACGTCGCTCCCGTTGCCTTGCAACAACCATTTTCCTCCTCTACGAACCCCATAATCTC